GGTCTCGAACCCGCAGGCTCAGGCAATCCACTCATCTCAGCCTCCCAAAGCACAGGATTACAGGCTGAGCACCGAGCTCGGCTGGGGTCATTATTAATCAGGAGAGGAAACAAAGGCCAAAGAGGTGACTCGGCCAGTCCAGGAGTCATGTCTGGACTAGGTCGTGTGAAATCCTGGCAGGCATCCGGGTAGAGGTATCCAGCTCAGGAAGTCGTTGGAAGCTCAGGCCAATGGCTGGGGTTGAAGAGCTTTGGAGCTGTTTGGGGGGCGGGGGGAGGAGGGTGGACTCAGGAGGCTGACGACCACATCCTGGGCGCCAGCGGTCGGCGTGGTGGAGCTCATGGTGTGGGTTGGAAGGTGTGGGGTGAGAGGACGGCGGCAGCGAGCAGATGGTCACTAGGAGACAGGGCATGTGGCAGTCACCGGGGACTGCAGAGGCCAAGGGCACACAGCCGACGGCAGTCAAGGACAGAGCCACAGCCGGTGGGGACAGCACAGCCTACCTCTGGGGTGGAGCACCAGGAACGGAGGAGGCCTCTAGCTGGCCTCCCTATAGGGAGGATCAGCTGCTGTCGAGGGCCTCGGGGACGAGCAGCGTCAGGGTCCCACGGGGACAAAGACGAGCTGGGTGTGTGACGTCCTACTCCGAAGGCCGAGGTGGGAGGACCGCCTGAGCCCATGGGTTTGCGGCTGCAGTGAGCTATGATTGCAGTATTACACTCCACCCTCGTGACAGAACGAGACCCTGTCTCTAAAAAAAAAAAGTTCTTCACTCTATTATGAAACAGATGTGTGAGGGGGAAACAAACACACAAAAAAAACCAGAATTCTTTTTTTTGAGGGGAGGCCCCTTGTGCTCCAGGCTTGCCCCTCCAGGTGAGTGTTCTAGAAACCCATCAGCATCAGGGAACCAGCTAGCTGCATTCAGCTTCAGTGAATTTTTTTTTTTTTTTAGATATCTTTCAACGTGTTTGCCCATTTCATGATGGGTGATTTACCAACGCACCTGCCCACACTGCACTGAGTGTTCAGCAGTTTCTGACCAAATTGCCAAATTGTACCCCACCCTCCCTATTCACCTAATCTTGCCCCAGCAACTTTTTTGTTTGTTTGTTTCCCTGTTGAAAAAAGTCCTCAAAGGGAAATGTTTAGCCAATGTGGAAGAGGTGAAACAAAAAAGGCAGAAGCACTAAAAGACATAAAAATTCACAAGTTCAGAACCTGTTTTGAGCAGTGGAAAAGGTGTTTCAATAGGTGTATTGCATCAAATGGAGAGGACTTTGAAAGTGACTGAAGTTTAAACATGTGAGAATAAATACACAATTTTTTTTTTTGAGTCAGTCTCACTCTGTCGCCCAGGCTGGAGTGTAGTGTCATGCGCACAGCCACTGCAGCCTCAACCTGCTGGGCTCAGGCGATCCTTCCGCCTCAGCCTTCCAAGTAGCTGGAACTACAGGTATGTGCTACCACTCCTGGCTTATTTTTTTTTATTTATTTTGGAGACGAGGTCTCACCAAGTTGCCTAGCCTGGCCTCAAACCCCTGAGCTTAGCAGTCCTCTCACCTCTGCAACGCACAATTTCTTATTAATACATTCTGGGTTTTCTGGCCCCCTCATGTAAGTTGATTTCATTGGTGTCGCGGAGCTGTTTTCCCTGTAGCTCCATCAGGTGCGCTGCTGCCCCGTCATGGCTGCCGTGGCTTGACGGGTGGGAGCCCCGTCAGCTCCTCCAAGCTGTCAGGAGGGCGAAACAAGTCGAGTCGAAGGGGGCCGACTCTCCCGCGGGGGACACCCCTCAGCCACATCCGCTCCCACGCCAGACTCCTCTTGCCGCTCACACAGAGCTTAACTGACGACGGTTGAGCTGCATATTCAGACCCCTGCTGGACCGTCAGGGATGTCACGGCTTCCCCTTTCCCTCCAAACTGCACAGGTTGATGCCTTTACACACCTCTACACTCTGATTCTAAGACCAGATCTTACTTATGAAGTGAAAATTGACGGCCAGACGATTGAATCGGGCAGCATCGAGTACGACTGGCAGTTGACGTCACTGAAGAAGGAACAGTCCTCAGCAGAGCCTAAGGACTGGGAGCAGGCTGAGGAAGACAAAGCTCAGGTGTGGATTTTTCCTGCAGGCCCTAGATAGTGGAGGAGTGTGGCACTTATGTGACCTGGTGACGGTGTGGCTGCGGTGTGGCTGCTGCGTGGCTACGTGACACACTGCCCGGTGACAGTGTTGAAGCACCCAGAGCCCTCGAGAACACGTGCAGAGCCCAGCCGCAGGGCCACGCGTGTCAAGGTGTTGTAAAGGGCTTAGAGCATTTAAGACGGAAACAAGTAGATTTGTTTTTATCCGTATTTTTTTGCACTTGATCTCAGCCAAAAGGCCAAGAAGCGATTCGTGTTTCTTTTTAAGGATAATGTATCAGGAACCCTTTGAAATACTCTTTGTTGTTCTGGATTTGAACGGGAGCCATGTTTTGAGCACTCTGCCTTTGCGACCGATGACTGAGAATTGCAGTTTTGTTGCGGGTTCCCTTGAGCTGCTGCAACAAGTCCACACAGGGCGGCTGAGGGCAGGCACGCGTTCCCTCGCAGTTTTTCTGAAGCTAGGGAAGAAAACCCAGGTGGTACAGGTGCCGCCTCCGAAGGCTCCAGGGGAGGGTCCTTCCTGCCCCCTCCAGCTCCTGGTGTGGCTGGTGACCACATACCGCCGTCTCTGTCCTCTGTCTCCATCTCCATGCGGCCTTCTCGCCCTCCTGTGTCTTCTCCCTCTCTCTCATGAAGACACCTGTCGTTGGATTTAGGGCGCACCTGGATAACGCAGGGAGTGCTCGTTTCAAGATCCTCCACTTGACTACCTTTACAGAGACCCTTTCCACATGAGGTTCCAGTCGCAGGTTCTGGGGATTGGAACATGCACACGTCTCTGTGGGAGCCACCACTCCATGTGCTACATGCCACCCGTGTTTTCATGCCCCTTTGTGTCAGGCCCTGGGTGCAGGATGCACTCCAAACAGGGAAACAGGCACGGAATGGCAAAGAAGCCTACCTGGACCTGCCGGGCTGGTCAGCAGGAGATGCAGGTCTTGGGACTCAAGTCCTCTCTGCCTCTGGCTTATGGGGACACTGTCCCGGGGGTCTAGTGAAGAAGAGTCTGGGCACACCTGGGGGACGGGTGTGTCCCTGGGGTCTTGAGGGGAACTGAACATCCCCTCACAGCGTCTCCAGACTGGTCGTGTCCGTTTGTAGGCGAGCTCCGCGTGAGCTCTCGAGCCTCTAGCTCACAATGGCCCAGTGGCGGAGGAGCCAGCCGCTCGGGCTGAGTGCTGCTGTCTGCTGGATCCCAGGGCACGATCGCCTCCTGTGGGTGGGTGGGAGTGAGCACGCAGAGGAGGAGCGGCTAAACCCCAGAGCAGTTGCAGACGTCAGGGAGAAGCTGCAGCCGAAGCACGAAACTCGTGACACTTGACAGGTTTCTGAAAGAGGAAACACCGTATGCAAGACTGTAGGCTTCTGTGTGTTTGTCTGAATGTCAGTTCACTGATAGCACGTTTTTTATCCGTTCATTCAACTCCTAGTGAGCTCTGTGTGTGTACGTGTGTGTACATATCCATGTGTGCCTCAGTTTGGGCTGCTGTATGAAAGAGCCTTGGCTGGGTCGTCTGAACAGCAGAAATATATTTCTCCCAGGTCTGGAGGCTGATGTCCAGGATCAGGGTGCCAGCAGGTTGGGTCCTCAGGGGACCCCTTCTGGGTTTCAGATGGCTGCCTTCTCACGGAACCCTCACCCAGAGTGAAAGCTCCCGGGCCCCTTTTCTAAGGGCACTGATCCCATTTGCGTGGGCTCCGCCCCCAGGATCTGAAAAAAGCCCCGTCTCCCAACTCCACCACACTGGGGTGAGGATTTCAACCTGGGACTCCTGGGGACACCGACAGACCATTGCAGAGAGGGTGCACACACATGCCTGTACACACACGCGCAGACAAAGGGACGGCGGACTGTGACTGCGCTCCTGCTGGTGCCTCCCGGCAGTGCCTGCGCGTCTTGGAGCGCGCCGCAGGAGTCTGCTTCCCTCTGAACGGTCCTCACAGTCTGTGCACTCCCACGCGCTTCGGTCCGAATGAGCCGCCAGGCCAGGCTGCTCCGTCTGTTCCTCTCTGCAGAGGGAAATGGGAAATCCTCGGGGCTGGGTGACGGAAGCCCAGTGTGGCCACCCGCAGGCCCTCTGTGGGGTGGGGAGCCTCGGCGGTGGGAGGCCTGGGGCGCGCCACCCTGAGGAGGAGGGGGGAGGCTGGGGCAGGCTGACCGGCCTGCCCTCCTCTCGCACCCGGGCCTGACTGCCTCCCTCCGCCCCGCTGCCTTGGAAGGACTGGGAGAAGCGTTTCCTGGACACCAGCGCCAGCAAGCCGAGCGACTGGAACCACGAGCTGGACGGGGACTGGCAGGCGCCCCTGCTGCAGAAGCCCCCGTACCAGGTGGGTGGTGTCTCCCCACCGAGCCGAGACGCCCTTGGGCCGCCCTGCCAAGGCGTTGGGCCCACCGCAGCTTGCTGTTGCAGGGTGGCCTGAAGCCAGAGGGCATCCCCAGGGACGTCTGGCTGCACGAGAGGCTGGGGCGCGCCCACTCCCTGCTGCACTATGACCTCGCGGAGTTCGAGGACATCGGCGCCATCGGGCTGGAGCTCTGGCAGGTGCGTAGCTCTGTGTGTGCTCGACCTGCGGCCTGGCCTTCGCCCCGGGCCCCTGAATTCCCTAACCGCCGTGTTGAGCGCCTGCTGCGTGCCCGATGCTCCCTGGAGCTGGTGAGGGAGCTGTGCTTCTGCCCCGCCGCCCCCGGTTTGCCTTCCACACACGGTGGACACAGCGATCCCTGTTCCGCACTGACCCGTGGCCACATCAGCTTTAGGACAGGAGGCAGATCGGACACCGCGGGTCCAGGGCAGGACCTGAGACTCTGCGTTCCCAGCGAGCTCCCCGGTGCTGCCAGCCTGGCACCCTCCAATAACCTGGAGCAGCGGCCCTCAAACGCTGCCGCAGAATGTCCAAGTTCCTGGGGAGCTTTCAGAATCCCCATACCCAGGTGACCTCAGCCTTTGGGGAAGGCTGGTGCCAGGCATTCACAGGATGTGTGACTGGACTGTGTGCAGCCAAGTTTGAGAACAAGTGCCTTAGAGGGACGGGTGTTCTTTTTTTTTTTTGAGTTGGAGTCTCACTCTGTCACCTAGACTGGAGTGCAGTGGCCGCTCCCGGCCACCGCAGCCTCGACCTGCTGGGCTCCAGCAATCCTTCCACCTCAGCCTTCCAAGTAGCCAGAATTACAGGCATGCGCTACCACGCCCGGCTGAGTTTTGGATTTATTGTAGAGATGAGGTCTCGCTGCCCAGGCGGGTCTCTAACCCACGGGCTCAGGCAATTACTCACCTCAGCCTCCCAATGGCGCTGGATTGCAGGCTGAGCCACCGAGCCCGGCTGGGACGAGTGTTCTAACGTGGGTTTGGGTGCCAGCTACTATTGAAAGCTAATTGCTGTTTGTTACTGTATAAGCAAAAGACAGCTGTGGTTTTTTTTCCTGAAAGTGTTACATATGTCACACCAATAATGGAAACCTAGTAGCAAAGCACAGGGTGGCGCACATGGTGTCCCAGCTATTCGAGGGCTGAGGCCGGAGGATCACTGGATCCCAGGGGTTTGAGACCAGTCTGGGCAGCAGAACAAGACCCCATCTCTAAGAAAAAGAACGAATGCCTTCTTTTCATCTGCAGGTGAGATCCGGAACCATCTTCGACAACTTCCTCATTACGGACGACGAAGAGTATGCCGAGAACTTTGGCAAGGCCACCTGGGGTCAAACCAAGGTAGATGCGCACCGTTGACTTTTCCTCTGTGGTTCATTTACTTTTGCAAATTTTGTCCAGAGGCCTAATGCACAGGAAAGGGCTTGGCGTGTTTTTATCAACAAACGCCGCACCCAGCTCAAGATGTGGACGTGGCCAGCATTCCAGAAGCCTCCATGCACCCCCCTGGACAGCCCTCACCCCCAAAAGCCTGCACTGTCCGTCACCACAGACGGACTTGCCTGTCCTGGCAACGCGAATAGATGGAGCCATCCACTGTCTCAGCTCCTAGACGCTGTTGTGAGGTTCGCGCATCTGTGCGTCATGGCAGCCGGCCCTTAGTGTGAACATTGCAAGGTGCTGTGCCCCTTCTCTGAGGATGCGGCCTGGGCTTGCTCCAGTGTGAGGCCTTCTCAACAAAGCTGCCGTGAGCGCCTTGGGGTGTCTCTCAGGGGACACGTGCCAGGAGCCGGACTGCTGAGGCGCGCGGGCTCATGCAGCCGCGGTTCTCCACGTGGTGGCTGTATTTGCGTTCCCTTCTGCAGGGGATGAGGCTCCAGCTGTGCCACATCTGTGACGCTGTGTGCCTAGTGCTCTTAGCTGTGGTTAGGTCGTAGCAGTCGAGGTGTCGTTTGCGCACTGTAAGACGTGCCCTTTTTAGGTGCGCCAGTCTGTGCATTTGGCAGATGCATACAGTTGTGAAGCCACCCCCAGAGTCAAGATACAGAACCGTGCCGTCACCCAGAAGTATCCTTGGGCCGCTTTGTAGACGCCTCCCCCGCCAGGCAACCACTGTTCTGCCATCTGCCCCTCCAGTCTTGCCTCTTCTAGGATGTCACATGCCTAGACACACGCAGTGAGTGACTGGAGCTGCTGTCTCAGCATGGTGGTGTGTCCGAGACGCACCCACGCCTTAGGTCCAAGCTGGCTCCTCCTTTTGCTGGACGTTGGCTTGTTTCTAGCTGACATGTGGGTTGTTTCCCGTCATTGACAGTGTGAACGGGGCTGTTGTGAATATGTGCGCCCGCTTTTCTTTCCCAGGGCTGAGTCACTGGGCCATATGGAGCATGTCTAGCTGTGCGAGAAACGGCCTGGGTTAGCGTGGTGGCGCCACTCAGGAGTCTGAGACTGAAGGGATTGCTGAGACCAGGAGTTCGAGGCTAGCCGGGCAACATAGTGAGATCCCCGTCGCTAAAAAAAACGTGTTTAAAAGGAAAGGAACTGCCAGAGTGTTACCAGAGTAATACGCTGTGGTCCCTCCAGTCTTGAACCTTCTCCGGCTCTGAGATTGTCCGTTTTGGTAGGCGTGCAGCGGCATCTCCCTCGGGTTAGTTTGCACATCTCTGATGGCAAATGAAGGTGGACGCTGCTTCATGGCCTTCTGTGGGCGTCTGGAGAGATCCTCTCTCGTGAAAAGCCTGTGGGGGGTGTGCGTGTTTTGGATCAGGCTCTCGCTCTGTCACCCAGAAACGGATGGCATGCTTGGAGCTCGCCACAGCCTCCACCCCCTGGGCTCAGGCAGTCCTCCTGCCGCAGCCTCCCGAGTCGCTGAGACTACAGGCACCACCACGCCTAGCTAACTCGTTGATTTCTTTTGTAGAGACGAGGTCTCGCTATGTTGCCCAGGCTGGTCTTGAACTTCTGGCCTCAAGTGATCCTCCCGCCTCGGCCTCCCAAAGTGCTGGGGTTATGCCCAGCCCATTTATAACTCTTTAAAGTCAAAGTAGTAAGACCTGTCGTATGTACTGTTAATGGATGGAAGCGTTTGTTTCTTATGCCATTAAGTATCAACAAGACTGTGGCACACCTCACGTGAGCTAAGAGGACAGCGGGCTTCTCTGCGTGCCCCGAGTTAGGGGAAGCTCTTTGAGGACCCTGACGCCGTACCAGCCATCGACTCTGAGTCAGTCAGCGGTGTGCTAGGGAGCCTCAGCGAGGCTGGGCATGAGGCTGGGCGTTTCTGAAGAAGAAAATGCTTGCTTGGCTCGCGGTTCTTGTGATCGGGCAGGTTCAGGGTTGGGAAGCTGCATCTGGTGAGGTCTCAGGCTGCTTCCACTCAGGGGGAGGCGAGGGGAGCCATGCAGAACACACGGGGAGTCCAGGGTCTTCCTAACAACAGCTCTCGCAGGAAGCCTCTATTTAGAAGGAGAGCCCACTGGTGACTGCCTGCCAGGAGGCACTGAGCTGTTCCTGAGGGATCCCCCGACACCTCCCATGAGCTCACCTCCAACACTGGGGACCAAAGGTCAGCATGAGGTCTGGAGGGCAAACAGCCAAACTGGCAGTGTGCACACATCTTCCTGGCTTTAGAGGAATTCCCTCAGTTCCTCTTTTCCCAGGGCCTTTTTGTCGCCTTCCCATCCTGGAAGTCACATTGAGACTAGCTGAAACACTTAGCGTTTTAAGGCGTTCCAGATGGAGATTCCCCCTCCTTTGTTTAAAGCGGTATGAAGGGCCTGACATGGCGGTGCATGCCTGTATTCGCAGTACTTAGGAAGGTCGAGGTGGGGGGGGGAGCGCTTGAGGCCAGGAGTTCGCGACCAGCCTGGGCAACAGTGAGATCTCATTTCTACAACAAAAAAAGTCAGTTATCATGAATTGATTGTTTCACGAACCATTTCTTCTTGAGTCTGACTTCTGCCCTAAATCTTTACTAAAATGCTTTCTCAGAGAATACTATGGGAGCTTTCTTGATGTTGTCTGCATGCTGACCTTGACCCTCTTATTAATCATACACGCCTGAATTTTTCTTTTCTTTATTCTCACCCTGTGGCCCAGGATGGAGTACAATGGCACACTTATGGCTACCGCAGCCTTGGCCTACTGGGATCAGGCAAACCTTCCTGCTCAGCCTTCCAAGTAACTGGAACTATAGGCGTGTGCCACCACATCAAGCTAACTTTTTTATTTACTGTAGAGACGAGGTTTGAAGCTGGGAACCCCTGGGCTCAGACAATTCTCTTGCCTCAGCCTCCCAAAGTGTTGGGATTACAGGCGTGAGTCACTGCGCCCAGCTAGATTTTCTTATTTAGACTCCGAGGCCTCTGTTCATGGGCCCATTCACGAATCTGCTGTTTGATGGATGGGGCCGGTTCCTCAGGTAACAGAAGGCGACTCTTTGATTCCTGTGGTTGCTGTAATTGTCATGAGCTGGGTGTCCTGAAGTCATAGACACGGCCCTCTGTTCTGGAGGCCAGAAGCCCCATCTCAGCATCTGTTGGCCCGAATCAGGGAGGCTGCAGGGCCGAGCTCCCTCCGCAGGCTCTAGGGGAAGATGCCTCCTTGCCTCTCCAGCTTCTGATGGCTGCCAGGGTTCCTGGCTGGTGACTGTGTTGCTCTGGCCCCTGCCTTGTCTTCCTGTGGCCTTCTCCCCTCGTTTGTGGGTGTCAGCTCTCCACCTGCCCCTCTCTTATGAAGGCGCCGTGATGGGATTCAGACCCGCCTGATAACCCATGTACTCTCCCATCTCAGATACTGATTTGGATCACATTTGAGAGACCCGGGTCCCATGTCAGGTAATGTGGCTGTTTCCAGCAATGAGGACTTGATGTGTCTGGGCTCTCACTCGGTCTGTCCAGGGCTGTGGAGATTTCTGGCAAGAGGGCAGCCTGAGCACTGACGTGCACTCGGTCCACGTAAGCGAACCCCGGGCCGCGGGGGCCTTTGCCTTTTGTCTCCTCTCCAGGGTCCAGAAAGGGAGATGGACGCCGTCCAGACCAGGGAGGAGGTGAAGAAGGCCCGCGAGGAGGATGAGGAGGAACTGCTGGCGAGGAGGGCCAAGGGGCAGGGGAGCCACTTTAGCTGGTTCCCCGGGCGGAACGAGCTGTAGCCATTCCCACCAGAGATAAAGGCGATCGGTAAAGGCCACACTCACGTTTGTCTGTGTTTAACCTGCACGTGTCTTTGGGGTCATGTGTCTCCTTTCCTCTGAACAGCGTTGTCGTGCTTCTGGGTGGTTGGTCCATGTCCCTGATGACCCTGGGCACGGAGACGTTTCCCCCTGACGATGCTGACCCTGGAAGCCAGAGGCCAGCAAGTCTGGCCAGAAACATGACACTCTTTTCCCAACCCCCAACATGTTTTTCTATTTTTATAAGAGAGAAGTTGGTAAAACTTACTTTGAAAAAGAAGTATGCTTGCTTTCTTGTGGTGTGGGTCACTAATACCAGCAAGGAAACTCTTTCAGTATGAAACCTTCACGCAGCATCTTTGGCGTCGGAGGGTTCTGTTGCTTGTGTGTCGGTGGTCTCCGCACAGACTCCTGTCGTGACACAGAAGCCTTCACTTGTCGGCTCTCTGAAGGAAAGCAGAATGAAATTCACTGTCTCAGGGAGTCATGACAAGGTCTCAGTTTAAATGTTTTCTTTGACATAATTTGCTTTTTTTTTTTTTTTTTGAGTTGGAGTCTCACTCTGTTGCCCAGACTGAAGTGCAGTGGCCACTCCTGGCCACCGTAGCCTCGACCTGCTGGGCTCCGGCAATCCTTCCGCCTCAGCCTTCCAAGTAGCCTGAATTATAGGCGTGCACTACCACATCTGGCTGATTTTTGATTTATTGTAGAGATGAGGTCT